AAAGCATCCCAGAGGGCAGCAGATGTGGTGAAGCCGCGAGCATGTTTGTGAACGGAGGGGCTGATGACCGCTAGGAGGCAGGCGCGGATCTGTGTGTCAACGATGGTCCAGGAGGTATACTCTGGATTAGGGACGGTTTTATCGTTTTTGGAGATAGTTGGCGCCGGGGCTGCTTCATGACCATCAATCCATCCAAGGAGGAGATTAGCTGAAAGAGCTGTCTGGACATTGAGAGACCATGCCGGATAATTTGTTTCGGTGAGTTTTTCTGGAATTAAGTTGTGGAGACTCCGAAGTAAAAGTTTTACTCCAGAGGGTAAGGACGCCAAAGGATCCGACGGGGCTGCCATGGTGGGCGGCGGTCGGAAAAAAAGAGAGGCTAGGTTTTTGAGAGCCTTAGCTCCGATACCATGATACAATTTGATAATAACTTGTCTTATTGAATATTGAGAGATATGGTCCTATATATAGGGAATACAAGAGTAATCAAAGTACAAGTAGGAAAGGAAAGAATAATCCTAGTAGGAAAGGAAAGAAGTATCCTAATTTAATTATACTTCCTAATAGACCCTAACCTCTAGATGTATATATTTCATGTTCATATATATTTTGTGCAATGCATTTTCTTTTATCTAAATTGCGTGATGGTACGTATAAAACCTATATTCATATATACGGAGTTTATAATAAGATGAAACTTATGGTATGAGTACATCTTTGTATATACGCATGGGATGAAAAAAAACAAAAGCATACATGGGTACAAAAAAAAATGACACTCTTTCTAAAACAAATGAAGAATTAAATTGTTTTTTTACGGCTAGATCTTCTTTTTTTAAAAAAATAAAAACTCAAGAAAGAAAAAGAATTGTGAGTGATCTAGCGGAAAGCAGGGTTGAGACACTAAATTTAATAATATTGAAAAGTTACAATTTTTACATTTTTTTTGTTTACTCTTAATTTGTGTTGGTGTAAACCACCATTTAGCATTTGTTTACTTGATTAGTTACATAGTTTGTTAGTTAGTTAGGAAGATATTTTTGGTTGTTACTTGTTTTTAATTTTCTATATATAGGAGTTAATCATGTAATACAAAAGTTGAGCTAGTTAATACACTTAATTCCAACATGGTATCAGAGCTGGTTGCTATAGCTCCAAGCAATCACTCCTTATCTTCAATTTTCTCTCTCACGCTTCCCTATTCTTCTCCATCTTCAATTTCAACTCATAGAAATTGCCGGCGATGAAGAAGCTAAATCGTCAATTACCTCTGGATTTATCGCCGCCGTTCTGCTCATCGTCGTCCTCAACCAATCCGGCGCCGTCTCCGCTGTGTAGAGGCGAGAGATGGACTCGATGTTGACAGCTCTGAGAAAAAACGGCTCTCGATTTTCATCTCCGATCTCTCGAACTATCTCGTAGACGGTGGAGAAGCCGTTCTCTCTGTCTTCTTCCTGATCAATTCATCTTTGTGCTCGACATGGGAATTCAGATCTGCCACCTCTTCTATCCGCTTCTTCCTGGTCCATCTCTCCGCAATCTCGCCGTCGATTTTGAATCCGAGGCAAAACTACGCTGCCGGAGGTCTCTTCCCCCACGCACTCCACCAGGCTCATATTCGTGGATCTCCGTCGACGCCAGAGCGCATCCCTAAGGAAACTTCCGTCTCAGAAGATCCTCACTTATGGACTTTTCATCTATCCAATTCAGGTCATGTTCATTGTCTTGTGCTCCATGAAATGCAAAATCAGATTCATCATTATCAAATGCAAATCTGTAATTCTTGCATTTGAGTTTCTGTCTTCAATTAAATCAGTTTTATGACATGAATATCATTCTCAATCTGATTTCATCCTCATCAGATTTCATCAGAGATTGAATAAATTCAAAACATGTTCTTCATTTTTGACTTTGCCATCTATGTTTCATCTTCATCATAACTGATCCTTATTGATCCTCTGTTCATTATATTGGTTCTCAGATTGAGTATCCAATTTCATTCACATTCTCATGAGTCATGATTGAAATGTTTCGTTCAATCATTTTCCTTCACTTCTGAAATTCAGAAGTTTCATCATTGTTCAGTTTCACTCAATCGGTTTCATTGAGTTTCACTCGTATCGTTTTGATCGAGTTTCACTTTCATCATCATCCGGTTTTCGGTTGATTTGATCAATTGCTTTTGTCAATTGATTTCATTTCATCCTTTGATGTTTTCGTGTGAATTCATCAATTGATTTGTCATCTCAACTTCATCATCGGTTGTGTGTGGTTCACTTTTCTATCACCTCTTGTCTTCAAATTTTATCTCTGAACCTGGGAATGATGCTATCTACAATCAAAAGCATTACTTTTTCCATTCAACAGAGAATTGTGCTTCTCAATTTCAGAACCAAAGGCCTTCAGATTTCTAAAGTTGCCAAGCCTGAATTCTTGAAACAATGAAGAGAGTTTGCTCCACTGTTGTGCAGCTTTGCATTGACTTCAATGCATTGTTCAAGCTTCTATTTGGTGGAAAGAAGCAATTAACTGCCTATGAGACCTATTGAAGAATCAAAGCCACGCTGCAGAGAGTTCAAACAGAAGCAAGGATTCTAAAGCACAAGCATTGAAGTCAACAGAGATTTGACTCAGTTGCGAGTTGAAGTTGTTCCCACCTTCAACTTAAGGGGGGGTGTTGGTGTAAACCACCATTTAGCATTTGTTTACTTGATTAGTTACATAGTTTGTTAATTAGTTAGAAAGATATTTTTGGTTGTTACTTGTTTTTAATTTTCTATATATAGGAGTTAATCATGTAATACAAAAGTTGAGCTAGTTAATACACTTAATTCCAACAATTTGCGCCAACTGATTTCATAATAAAAAAATAATAGTGAATAAAATAAGTATAGATTGTTTTTTATATACACGACCAAAGCCTTATTAAAGGAACAAAATATAAAATAAAATAAAACAGATGTTACTGGAATATATAGTGTACGTTCTCGTTACAAATGTAAAAGGAAAAAAAACCCCAACGTTTTTAGTCCGTAAAGTGACTTCCTTGTTGCTCCTATTTTATTACATAGAGTACTCCATACGAAGCATGTTGTACTATACATAATTATAAAACTGGACCAAACGTGTGTATATATATATATATATATATATATATATATACACACACACACACTAGTATCAACCCCGTGCTTCGCACGGGCTCATATATATTCTAAATTTTGAAATCTAAAAATAAAATATCATTTATTTTAAATTTTTAATAATGATATATAATGTGTTTGATAAATAATTTCTAACTATTATATTTTAAAGTTTTATACAAATGTAATGGTCATCAAATAAAAAATAATGAATATCATTTTAATTAATAAAAATTAAAATAAAAATGTCAAATAAATCAATTCAGCAATCACACATCATTAGAAAATGCATGTCTGTTATGTGCCACATGTAATTTTTCAATTAAACTTTCAGTGTGTGTTTAGTTTGCTAAAAAAATATGTAATTAAATAAATAATGTAATAAGACAAAAGATTAAAATATGTTATGAACTTAATAAAGATGCATGTGTGATAAAATTTGTATATAATAGTTTCTTTTGAGATGATAGATAATTTTAAAAATTATAAGAAATATTGTTTTTTTAATTAATATATTTTATATAAATTTTTTAATATTATAAAATAGTCGTGCATATTTAAAAAATATCTTAAAACAACAAAAAATATTTCTAAAACAGTTAGAAAGTGAAAATTTTACAAAAAAAGAACAAACATAAGGGTTTTTTATTGTTGGAAAGTGAAGGGTTATAAAATATAATAAAAATAATAATTTAATACAAAATTAAATATGCATGTGTGTAGTGACATGTGGCTTGTTGTTTACATGTGGCATAACACATGTCAGTAGTATGCACGTGTGGCATGCCACGTGTCATCACCACAACTATCTAACTCTCTTTTACATATATATATATATATATATATATATATAT